ATGTAAATAAATGATTTTTTTGTGCATCTGGCAACTAGAAATGGTACATATTGACAGTTGTATACAACTTTCATTAACCCATTAGAACCCAACCATCTTAAAATCAATGAATTTAAATTATTTGTTGCAAAATTAATCTTATTATGGGTTAATTTAAATTGAAATTTAAAAACAAAAAATTTTTCAATTTTGGAAATGCGATTTTTGGGCTGTACTCGGATGGGTACAGCTGGACAATATGGGTATAAATACAAATAAATAAAAAAAAATAAAACCAATTTTTATTATTTTTTTTTTTTATATTTTTGTACTTTCTTACATAAAAAATCGAATCAGTCAGATTAGATTAATTATGAAATATATTGAAATTCTCGTATTCAGTGCACTTTTTCGACACTTTATTGATATTTGTGCTAAAATAAATAAATTAAAATACATGAAATGGGATGTATTCTTCACTGGCACTACAATTCTCATTCAACGAAAATGTTGTCTGGTAGATCCTCCAGTAATTAACTGTATTTATCAATTCCTTTTTCATCAATTTCTTGGCAATATTTGGAAAAATAATGAAAAAATCTAAATGTGAACTGATTTTATTATAATGCTAACACTGTGTGGAAGATATTGGAAAAAAGCCTTTTTTTGACTTGACAGACTAAACAAATATAACTCGAAATTTTCTTAACCAATTTAATATTTTTCAACTGTTTTGGAAAGAGTTTCCTTTGTAGTTTTCAATAAGTGCACACACTTTTATATTTTTTACGGTAATTTGTAAAATGTTTAGATCTAAATATAATTTTTTATATTTTTTAATTTTTTTTTTTTACAATTCAAGATCATTTTTGACCCACACTTTACTTTAAAACATATTTTTTTTTTTATTTTAGCTCATACTTTCATGAATAAAGTGGAACATTGAGATCAAACTGGCAAAAATAGATTTTTTTCGTAAAAACAAAAATTTTCCAATTTTCAGTGCTAAAGTAAATTATTCATTTAAATAATAAAGCTTATATTTGCGTTGCATATCTTACGTTGATATATTACTTTAGCAAAGAGAGATTTGGTGAATTTTTGTTTTTTTGGAAAACAAAATATACTCACAAAGTATACAGAGGTGTCACTTTTGACATTTAAAAAAGTCTAAAATCAGCTTATGTTTGATTTTGAAATTGTTTGGTGAGAAGAGGTATATAAAATACAGCTAAAAAAATTATTGAATTCGTTTTGTGCGAAAGAGAGGGAAATAGTTTTTTGCTCGTGACGCCTCTGTATACCCTGTGATATACTTTTGTTAGTTTTTATCTGATTTCAGCGTATCATATCTTATTTTATTCATAAAAGTATGAGCTAAAATAAAAAAAAAATTTTAAAAATATGTTTTCAAATAAAGTGTGGGTCAAAAATGATCTTGAATTGTAAAAAATATAATAATTTGTATTTAGATCTAAATATTTTCCAAATTTTCGTAAAAAATATAAAAGTGTGTGTACTTTTTAAAAAGTACAAAGGAAACTATTTTTATAACAGTTGAAAAACATTAAGGGCCAATCTTTAGGTGAAAGATTAGCGATTAAATTAAAATTAATCCTCGAAAGATGTTTTTGAGTACTCAATTAGTTAATTTTGTTTGCAAGTTTAAGCGTCTAATCTTAAGCACGAAATGCAAAAGTGTAAACAGCTGAAGCAAAAAAATTAATAAAATTTTTATAAATATAAACATTAAAATGTTCTATTTATTGATTAGTATAAATTATGGACACTTCAAAATACATTTTTTTGTTTTTAATTTAAGTTTTCATTAATTTTCATATTAAATTTACAATTGTCTTCTTCTTTTTTATAAAATATGCATTGTTTTGATAACAAACAGTGACATTTTCTGTTGTTTTGTATGGCAACACTGCGAAGTTTAATCTTGTACTCAAAAACATCAAAGAGGATTAACATAAGATTAAATTTATTTTTAGATTAACTAATCTGGTTATTAATTGGCATTTGATTACCATCTCAAAAACCCGCTCTAAATGGGTTAAGTAAATTTTGAGATATAATTTTTTTAGTCTGTCTAGTCAAAATAAAGCGTTTTTTTCCAATATCATCCGATTTCTAGTCAAAATAAAGCGTTTTTTTCCAATATCATCCGATTTTTAGGGTATATTGAAGATTCTAAAAATGGTACTGTAATCTACTAGACCTACCAACTTCACTAGGTCTCGCGATGAGTGTATTGATTTTTTGTAATTTTGTCACACCGTATAACCAGTAGCACCTACAAGACTTCTAATTTTTGTACCAAAAAGGACATAAACATCATTAAAAGATAATTAAGATATATGAAAAAATAGGCATAGATTGTCCCATTGTACCCAAGCGAGTACACCAATATTTAAGCTTATAGAAAAAGACTTTAAATTATTTGATAACGAAATCCTAATGAGCTGATCTGTTTATTTTATTTCCAAGTAAAATTCTAATCCATTCAATTCAAAATGAAAGAGTTTGACATCAAATTGCAATGAAAGGTGCAAAAAAATTATTTAAAATTTACCGTTATGTTTTTATGACTTTATAATTCGGTACATTTACTCTTTAGATTCTAAAGCGTACATACGCAGCGAGCTCTCAAATCAGCTCTCTGGTTTTTCTTCTTTCACACGTACGTAACTTCCAAGCTTAGATAATGAGAGAGATACACACCTGATGTTAAGCATAAAGATAAGTTCTTGTTTGCCGAAAGTTATTTTTGCAAACGAGAATATTTGATATTTAATATTTATTTTAATTTTAAAACCTCGCAAGAAAAATTATCATTATCATCATTAAATTAAAATTTATTTGAAGAATTTTTTTTCCGAATAATAGTAAAAAATAATGGGAATTTTAATTAAAGTGAATCTATGACAAAAACTCCTAAACAAATGTAATACCCGCTACATACTATGTTAATTCGTGACATACAAGCCTATTTACAAGATTATCCTGTCTTTTACAAGGTTATGCTGTATCTTCAATTAATTGACATTTATAGCACTACATATGAGCGCAAAAGTTTTTGGAGGATATTTTTATACACCTAACGATCCATTATTTGTTTAATTTTTAAAAATCTTTATTATTTCTTTACTTTTATTTACACGGAGTATATACTAAGGTTCAATTTGTATCCAAAATTGCAAATAAATGCATTTTCGAGAGCAGTGTTAACAATAATAGGTCGTGTTACAATATATTCCAATCCTATTCATACAAAATCCAGAAATATTACGGCTGTATTTATAAAAACTTATTTTAGGTTTATTAAACAATTTTAGGCAAAATTCAGGAAAATCGTATTTATAAACGTGAAATAGCTTAAAACACCTTCAATAAACCATTGACAATTAGAAGAATTTTATTGTAGGTTCGACCCTTCTTTAAGCCAACAATAACTTGATTTTTAAAAATTTTTTTCTCAGATAAAGATTTTTTCGGTAATTTTAGGTTGATTGCGAAAAGTAATTATGGTTTCTTTTAAAATAAAATCAAAAAATTCTAATTTTAACGTTTACAAATTTGTAAATAAAATCCCAGAAAATTTTTAAACGATTATATTTTGAGGAAAAACTCAAATCTAGGCATTATTGGATTAATGCATGAATATTTGACAATATTCCAATTGTCCAGCTCTATTTTTAGGCAATTTGGAAATGCCCGTCTGTCAACCAAATGATGGACAAAATCATTTGATTTGGCTTTTTCAAAGTTTGTTGGTTAAATATAATGCCATAAAGTAATTAACCATGTAAATTATATTGATTAGTGTTATACTAATGCAAAATATATTCGCCGGCATTAAAATTAGTCAAATATCAAAGAAATTTATCAATATTTGCAAAAATTTATCAAAAATTACAAGGAAAATAAGTAAAAATAAGAAAATGTGTCATAGTGATGTATATTTTGTCGCAAAATATCCGTTATTCGGATACTTTTAATAATAATTAGAAATTATATGTTATATTTATACATCTGAACTAAATAGACATTTATTAAAGCCATATATATATTTATTTTTCTTAAAAGTTTGTTTTTATTGTCAAAAATCTATTATAAACAAAAATATGAAATTAAAAAAACCGAATCAACGAATATTTTATTATAATTGTACGCAACACTAACACATAAAATGACAGCCATATTGTACAGTGCTGCCAACTTAAACATAAATCAGCACAATAGTTAATATACGTTTATTATTTGTTTATGAATATCACAATTTTATTAATGGTTTTTAAGGCTAAAGTGTGCTTTAACTATTGAGTGCATTAAAAGCAAAATAAGATTTTTTTTATAAATACAAGCGTTAATGTTTTATTAGTTGTGTTTTGTTGCTATCAATGAGTGTTAACGCTTAAAGTTAGCAACAAAACGAACATTACCTGACTTGGCATCACTCCACAGAAGAAATCTGCTAAATCTTGAAATTATTTACATTTTCTTAAAAAAGGTTTTTTTATTTGATATTTTTTTTTGATTTAAATTTTATTTTAAAATATTTTTTTATTGTTTGACATAAACACATTAATATTTGTATTTTTATTTTTGAATTGGTAGCACTTTTATCGACGTTAAAATTAACTTGTATAATTTTACACGTTAACTCCTAACGTTTATAAATTTTAAATTTATATGAAATTGCCTTTGAACGTTAGCAACAAAACACAACTATTGTTATTTATAATACAGTACACTGTAAAGTAGAGAAGTCATTACACCAAAAAAATTTACAAACTTTTCTTTTAGTGCATGGAATGCAAAAACACAAAATGAAGTGGTGTTAGTATTGAAAGAAAATTTTACGCTCTGCCGATGTATATTCTAAAGTTATATTTCAAAAATCAAATTTCACAAAAAAACTCTGTAACCCAAGCGAGTACAGTGGGAACGAATGGGTTAAAAAATAACAATCAGATATCGAATTGACTTCACCTTATGAGTGCACCCTGTGAAAAACATTCTCCAAAGAAATGTAAACAAAACACAGCTGTTTGCAAAAAAGAAAGGGACAAATAAAAACAAAATAATTCCACCGACAAATTATTTTATATAGAAATTTAAATAAAATTATAAATATTGTATGGATTTGACGTGTGAAATTGTTGATGATTATGACCATATAGAAAATGATCTTGAATACATTTTGGAAAACGTTCTCAGTGAAGAAGTTCAAAGAAATATTGATCGCAGTGAAGAGTCAAGAAATCTACAACAGATTTTTAACACCCTTTTACTAAATAAGTGTGAATGTAGTGAAGAATTTCAACCGCAATGTTCCAAATGTATACATGGTGCTAACTACAGGTACGACGAAACATTCCAAGAACTTGTACTTTACAGTTCTTCAAACATACCGGATTTAATATACGAATGTACTCATATGTGTACGTGTAATCCTGAAAAATGCCAAAATCGTTTAGTGCAATTCGGTCCGCGAAAGTTTTTAAAAATAGTCGACTCTGCAAAATATCGTTCAAAAGGTTTAATAACTACCCGTGACATACCTAAAGGAGCGTTTATTTGTGAATATGCTGGAGAATTGTTAACAATACATGAAGCCAAACAAATTTTAAGAAAAAATGAAATAGAACAAAAAATGAATTATGTTTTGATTTTAAAGGAATCTTGTTCACCTTCATTTGCCAACAGTAATGACAAGGACATATTGACCATAGTGAATCCCAGTAAAAAAGGAAACATTGGACGTTATTTGAATCACAGTTGTGAACCAAATTGCCAAATTATTAGTGTTCGGATTGATTGTCCAATACCTAAAATTGGTAAGGTTTTATTAGATTGTTTGTACATACATATGTATGTATATAAGTACATTTTTAAAAATTATTTTTCAGCAATTTTCTCAAGACGGTATATCAATGCGGGCGAAGAAGTGTGTTTCAATTACAATGAAGGTATAAATTACAGTAAAATTAAAAATACATCAAAAAACAACAAAATTCCTTGTCTTTGTGAATCTAAACATTGTTTAAAATATTTGCCAAATTCTGATTTTTTATAAATATAATAATATAATTAAAAAAAATCCAATTTTATTTTTATTTTCAATAAACATATTGTTAGCTTAGTACGCAAAGGTAACAAGTCCACTTTTTATAGAAAATTCATTAAAGTTTTGTCTATATAGAATTTGGAAGCTTTACTGACATGTTTAATGCATTTATGAGCGTTAAAATAATTTTCTGAAGGGGATCTTATATGGGGGCTAGGATCAAATAAAGCCCGATGTCCACCATTCTTTACTATATAATTTGTGAATACAAAAAAATAACTTGGTCCAAATTTCATCACGCATTTATATGTGTTTAATCTCTTTTTCGAGCAGCCACTTGTATGGGGACCATGAGAAATCGTGGATCTACACTTACTGAATTTTATACAATTCGTCCGAACACAGCAAAACATGTGTGTCGAATTATATCAAATTATCTTCAAAATAGAACCTGTACGTAAGGAAAAAGTTATAAGAAAATGTGTTAAGTCCAGCAAAAAATAAAAATTCACAAAAAAGAAGAAGAAGAAGTTTTCAAAAGCATTATTTTTAAATTGTTTGAGAAATAAAGGAAAAGTTATGAAGTTTTGTAATTTCTATAGAATTTACAAAAGAGGACTTGTTACGTTTGCGTACTAAGCTAACGATATGGGCATTTCTATGAGAAGGTCTACGAATACTGAACAAATAAAAAATGATTTAACTAAATTTTATACATGGGCTTCTATTATACTGGACACGAAATGTGTAGAAAATATTTAAAATCGGTCCATTATTTCACTTATCTCCCATACTATCGGACCCCTAAATAACGCTTTAGAGCTCATAATTTTGTTAAATGTACTAGTAATTCTACACAAATAGGCAGATATATAATTTATATAGTCGTCAACCGTTCTGCCGATTATTGTAATTATTGGGGCTAATTTACCCCTAGCCCCCATACAAGCTAATTTTTCAGCAAATTACTTAAAAGTCCATAACTCACTTATATTATTGTATTGTATACAAATTAGACATAATAAAGTTGTATATAAACATACACAAAATTTCATGAGGATCGGTCCATGTTTAATCCTAGTTTCATATAAAATCATTTTTTATTTTTATCAATAAATTGCTGAAGTATGTTAATCGGTCGATCATGTTCGACTGTATTTTCTTACATCTTTTGTATTTGTTTAAGCGACTGTATATATCGTATCTAACATTTTTAAAATTTTACAGGAGAAGCAAAAAACTATTTAAATTGAAAAGTTTGTTCCTATCAACGCGATTTATTTGTAGTAAATAAACAAATTGTTCAATTATGAAACATATCATTTGTTAAGATAGTTGACAATGGCGTATATAAAAATGGATAAATTGGACTTTTTACCTTTAATATTTAAATATTTTTGTAGGAGCAAGATGTAGCGTTCAACATGTTGCGTTCGAACATGATTAAAATTAAGTTTTAAAAAAGTATAAAAAGTTATTGATTAGAATTATAACCATTTTAAAGAGACATCAGTTAACAACATTTTAAAATTAGTCCCATTGAAACACGACCTCAGTTTTCGCTAAAATCGACGATTGAATTGTTACCCAAAAAACAACTTCTATTTTTGTAGCGTTCAAACACCCTGGTATTTTGCAATTATCTTTGAAATTGAACTTAACAGCAATTATAGGCCTAATTAAAAATGTTATTTTGATACAGTGAAACAGAAAGTTAATCTATTTTTAAACCAGAATTCTTGCATTTACGTACATTTTATATGTAATTAGAGAAGAACAATACTTTAAGCCATACTTTATTCCTACATATGTACATATATCAGGTTTAAACAAATCAGATGTCTAATCGTTACATAACGATTTTACTAAAACGATATTTTTAGGGTCTTGATGTAAAATCACTTTTCCGTTTATTTACAAAGAAACTTTTTAATTATTACATACAAATTTTTACTTAACACAATTATTCAAGTGGTGGCAATTTTTGTAAAATCCATTCCTGCAAATCCAATAGTTCTTGCTTTTTCAGTTCATGTAATGTGTTTTTAAGTGGAGTAAAAGTTCCCTTCACTTCAAGTTTCGACAAGTTATCAAAACTTTCTTTTCCCCATTCAATAGGTACCAATGTGTCCCGACCGCCGTGAAACATTTTAAGCTCTGGTAAAACATTGTTATCCTTTGAACTGTTCTTAAGCGATTCATAAACAATTGAATTGCGATTCAGAAATGATGAGCAAGCGAAAACTCCACCCAGCTTATTGTTCAAATGATATCCGGCATGCATTGCTAAAGCGCCACCCATCGAAAAGCCACCTACTATAATTCGGTTAACGGGTACACCTTGTGAGACTTCTTCATTGATCATTTCATTGACTTTTTCATAAATATCTTCTAAACTTTGGCGATTTTCAGGTGCTTCAATAGATATGGTTTGCCTATCAAACCAGACATTTGACATTTGACCGCCAAGTGGAGTGTATGGCTTAAATGGTGCGGTAGGGTAGATTACTTTTATATGAGGAAATTCCATATCACGACCCAGTAGAAATCGAACCCACTCAATTAAATTCCTTCCAGTATCTCCTGTACACATGCAACATATTTAACAAACACTGTTATAAACACGGGTAGTATAGCTAGTTAGTTAATGTTGTAACGGAAAACTCACCGGAACCATGGAGAAAAATAACAGACGCATTATGTGAACCCGACGTAGGGTTAATGTGTTTAACCAATAGCTTCATTTTTCGCAGAGACATTAAAATTTATTTGTTACAAGACTGAAACATAAATATTCGTCTCTATTCCTAAATGTATTAAAATATAAAGATTGGACATAAGGTTAGAATTGTGTTTTTATAATAAAAACATATAAACATATATCAAGGCGAATTCAGATAAGGTGGTGTTATTCAATCAGCTGATAATTTTTTTCTTAATTCGACTGGTTTACGTAGCTGTCAAAGTTTGTTATTGTTTACATTTTTATATTTAAAAATGTCCGTTAAACGGAGAAAAATTTCGTTAATATTTTGAATTATTTATGTAAAAAATCTAAAAATACCAAGCATCTCGTAAACAAATATCATTTTATTCAAATAATGGCATAATTGGTATGTATACAAATATGTTATTTAGGAAAAATATTTTTTTCTATTAAATGTTAACATATTAAACAATATTGTTTTATATTTTATATTAACATTGTGTAGATAACGTGATTAACTAAAATAAAATCTCTTCCGGAACACTTTATATAAAGAAACACATATGAAGAATTTAGCCGAACAGCGGCAGCTTACTTTTAAATATATAAGTAATGGTGTTAATTAATTATTTATTTGTTTATAAAGAACGGAAGCTGATTGCCGTATTCAGGGGGTATCCTTGGGATACATACTTATTATTATACCATTGATCTCAGCAGAATCACTACCATACACCCATAATAGAGCGCGATGTCTGTCTGGTGTGCCTTTCAGTGAAGCTCTTGTTGTCTCCCAACACTACTGTGGCCGAATATTTACAAGAAACAATTGTTAAGCCGCCTTTTATACAAATTTATAGCTTTGTAGAGAATGTCTTCACTTAAAAATATTGGTACTAACCATTGTGGGCTTTATGTCGACTTTAGATCCCTTATAGTTGTCACACTATACCAAATAAGCATTCTTGCTGGAATTAAAGTTTAAAACAAGTTTAATTCCAGTCAAACATTCAAATTTTAAGTGTTGAAATACACTTTCATTACACTTTTATTCAATAGCATTCTCCAGTGAAAAGGAAACTTGAATTCAAGTCGAACATTACAATGTTTTTACAGTATAATTCAATGCACGAAATCTATATACATACGTATATACAATTCTAACGTTACTGACTGACTGACTGATTCATCATCGTACAGCCTAAGCGGTTGAAGCTAAAGAGCTGAGATTTGGGCAGGAGGTTGGTCTCCCAACAAATGTATCCAATAAACGGGATTTTTGGAAATTCGAATTTTTTGAGGGTTAAAAAAGGGTAACAACGTAAATTCAGTAACCTCAAATCTCCTAAACTAGAAACTTTACAAAAACAGTTAAAGCTTATCGTCGTTCATTTAAAAAAAGCGGACAGGTGTCCGGTAATTTTTTCAAATTCGGCCCCTATGGTGAATAAACGGGTAAAAACTTAATTTGGTACTTCTTTTGCACCCCATGTATCTTTTAAACCAGAGAACATTCAAAAAATATTTTTAAGTCCTTCATAACTTGACGAACAAATAAAAATATGAATTTAGTACTTTTTGGATATTTGGACGTTTAAGGGGTGAAAATTGTACATATTTTTGGTACTTTTTTATAAAACATTGTTTTTGGTTTATTAACTTATACATATGAATACATAATAACGGGCTCCCAATACGATGTTGCAACTTTTTGGAACAGAATTTTTATTTCGTTAATGGGGATTAAAAAAGTACCAAAAGGGGTAAAAACGGGAAATTTGATTTTATTCAAGAAACAAATATGGTAATGGGGTGTTATTTGGAACACCGGTCCCAATGCGCAATTTATGTTTAATTGTATAATCCTTTTTAATTACATGAGCATAATATCAACAGTACGAATGAGTTTAAAGAGGAATGTCAAAAACAATCATGAAAATGCCAAATCATGTTTGTTTTCTTACCCCCCATTCTTCTCTACCCCGCTCACCTCCAATCATCGACAAACATGAAAACAGACGTCTGGGCAAACATGAAAAAAAATCATCGTGTAAATTGGGTGTAAGTGATATTTTTTGGTACTTTTTATACCCTTCACCTTCGTGAGAAGGGTATATATAAGTTTGTCATTCCGTTTGTAATTTCTATAATATAATTTTCCGACCCTATAAAGTATATATATTCTGGATCCTTATAGATAGCGGAGTCGATTAAGCTATGTCTGTCTGTCTGTCTGTCTGTCTGTTGAAATCAGTTTTTAGAGGACCCCAGATATCGGCGAGATCCGAATCTTCAATAATTCTGTTAGACATGCTTTCGAGAAGATCGCTATTTAAAATCAGCAAAAATCCAAGACAACCTCTGAAAATTTCATTAAAAAAGACAATTTTTTCATGCTTTGATTAATAAGCAACAACAACAACACTGCTTATTCATTGAGTATTTCGTTTCACATGTTTGGATGGCTGTGTGTTTCATTGGCATGTGTATATTGTTTTTGTTTCTTGGTGTATTCAGTTTTGTATGTTTGGATGGCTGTGTGTTTCATTGCCTTGTGTATATTGTTTTTGTTTGTTGGTGTACAGTTTCGTTTGTTGGTTTTACTGCCTTCTATAATATTGAACCAATAGGCATGAAATTAAACCTGTAGGGCATGAAGTAAGTGAGAACATATAAAACGGGACTTTTTCGTTCTTCAACTGGTACTATTTGAATTTTCTATTATAATGAACCTAAAAACATAAAACTAAAGAATCAGGGACTTGAGTGAATGAAAATTTAAACTGGATTATTTCTGATAATTTTTCGTTCTTTAACTGGTACTTTTTGAATTTTCTAAAATATTGAATATATAAACATAAAATTAAACACGCAGTATCCTAATTGAACGAAAATTTATCTCGCTTATGTCCATTTTGCCATAATTGACCCTACCCCCTTCAATAATTGATTTTAACGTTTTCTACGTACTTAATAATACCATAATAAAACAATTTTTGTTGAAACGAAAATATGTAATGTAAATATGTATATGAAATCTTCTTCAGAAAATGACTTAAACGCACATAAATGGCTTTGTCGATGTCGACGAAAAAAACATTTTTAGGAACTGAAACCTACATTTATGAAAAATAAAATTATGAGGATCGGTCCGCCAATATAACCCTCTTACAGAAAATCAGTTTATAGCTAATACATCATTCCAAAAGTTATCGTCATGATAGAATTATGGTAGAATTAAAAAAAAAAAAATACTTTAAATTATAGAGACCTTTGTCCATAATTGATCCAATTCCACATTTATGTCCCTAATCCGAAAATCACGGTGACGTTCTTATTGTATATGACCACTTCCGAAATTTGCTTTTTTACGACATATGATTTGCCGAATATAACTCTTACTTCTTACTTATTTTAATCATAAATAAATTACCGCTAAAATAGGAATAGTCTGCCTTTAGGGTTGCGAGTTTTCATACACTCTAATAATGTTTTCAAAGTGAAACTTTTGGAATATTTTTCAATCTCTTTGTGATCCCTTTAAATGATGTTGTTCTGGAAGAACTTTAACATCCATGTAAACATTTTGGGTAATAAATTGGGGGACTACCAAAGAGGGGAGCGGAACCTCCCATATGAATTAAATAAAAAAATTCGTTTATCTGGGAAACTAATAGAACTAAATTCTTCAAATTTTGCACGAAGAACTTTAATATTCATCTGAACATTTTGGAGAAAATGGGCGGACTTTCATCTGGGGGGTTTGGAGCTCCCATATGAATTAAATAGAAAAAATCGTATATCTGAGAAACTATTAGAGCTAGAATCTTCAAATTTTACTGAAGAACATTTAGAGAATAACGGGCGGACCAAAGAATAAACAAGAAGTGAAACGCTGTCATTTTTTTACAACAATAACATTACACTCTTCTCACAGACGAGTGCTGTGTAAATCCAACACATATGTAAAAATTTTATTCTCTCTCCAAACTTCAAAACTTTTTCGCGAAAATTTGAGGATAATAGCACTTTGAAATATTTTTTATCACTTAACATTATATTTTATAATTTTTTTGCACAATTTAAACACATTTAATAGCCCGAAAATAATATATTTTTTACAAACGAAAAAAAAATATTTTTTGTTTTTTGACATTGATTTTTTGTTGTTTGAAATTAAAACTAAAAAAAACAATGTTGTAAATTTTCGTATCGTAAACGAAAAAGATATTTCAAATAAATAATTTATTTTTTCAATATTATAGATTAAAAAACAAATAGACGTGTTTATAAAATGTTTATAGATAAAATATGTGCAAAATATCTTAAGAAACCTTTCAAAGTATAAATTGAAATGTAATAATTTTTTTTCAATATTTTTCAATACTATTTTTTGCAACTATGTTGACTTGAGAATTCTACTAATACATTCTTAGAGTTAGGTACCGGATGACAGTAGACTTAGGTACTTTTGACAACAGTTTCATTTCTTATTTATTCTTTGGGGCGGACATTCAATGGGGGGCTTGGCACTTCCCATACACTGAAAAAAATTAATGCCTAATATATACGAAAAATGTCGTACATTGTACGAATCTTTCGTTGTTTCGCACCAAGAAATTCTTTCTTAATATATACGAAATTGTACGAAATATTTTAGTATAATGCAAAATAATCTTGGAAAAATTAATTTACATAAATTGAAAAAAGTGAATTTTGAATAAATATGGTCAAATTTACGAAATATTAATTTATGCAAACATTTTTGTTCATTTTAAAAAATTTTTTCTAATTTTAGTTCAAAATTATTCTCCACACGAATTTTTATTTTTTTTATGAAAATAGTTCGTCAATTATATTATACTTTTTCTTAAATTTTATAAAAATGTTGTAGATTTATTTAATGATAATATTCTTATTATCATTGTTTAATTTCGCTAAAATTTAAGATCTGGAAAACCATTGTAGTTAGAATCATCAAAATCGTTAAGTGGGTTTCTTATTTATATTGCTTTTAGGGTAGCACAGCACACTGGGTATTGCTAGTAAATAAACAAATAAAATATCTTTGTTTTTACGTTATTGATCATTTTCTTAATGCAAAATTTTTTAGAAACTGATTTTCTGCAAGATGTTTTATATGGAGTATAGG